TCAATGGAAACGTCAGCTCAACTCATATCATTGTGAGAAAATTCTTCTTCTACCAGTCCTTCATCACCTTTAACGAAATTGTGTGAATACATCTCATATTGAGAAATATAGTTATGTGATATCAATGGGGGGAAATTCACCTTCAGTCTTTCACCAACCTAACGAAAAAGGGCAATTATATCTCATATATATGCTCTAGTGGTAGTCTTGAGGACCTACTTATTAACGAATAATAAGCTGATTTATAGAAGTGCTTTGAACTCGTTTTCGCAAATTGATCTTGTTGTCAGGACGACTTGGTTGGATGCACCTTATCCGAATTCCTCTGCCATAGAAGTTATCATAATTTCCAACTTCGGACCGTAGACTTAATACATTTTAGAATGTTTCGCCGGCATCTTAGTCGACATTGTTAGTAAGCCTTGTCATTCTCAGCACCCGGCCACAACTCGTCAAAGAGACAAGTGAAGTCAATCCCTCGACAAACGTTCTGTCGAAAACGGTTACACTATCATTCCTCTTTCTGTCCTGGCCTATCTATACACTCTTTCCCCTCTTATCCCACTGCCGCCCTATTACAACTTCTCACTTGTTTACATTCTACTCGTCAAAATGTGTGCCATTTTGTGGCAAATCCAGTTTAGCCCCATCACACTTGTTATTTCTCTCCGATCGCTCTCTTTCTATCGGGCCTCTAATCCGGATCCCTTGTTTTTCTCGTGGATCTCTTCCTTAACTTTCTCGTTGACCGATTTCACTCCAGGCGCTATTTCTCAAGGCCCTAGATGCACATACACTGCCGCTTTACTGAACAGAGCGCCTAAGCTCTGATTCCCATGTTTGCAGATATCAGGCCTTCCTCTCCTTGATTAAACCCATGTTATCTGAGCAAACTGTGGACGCCTATCTCTGGTCGCATTTGGCATCTCAAGTGGGTTTCTGGTACATTTTGGCCATAACGCCGAATTTCCGCGACGGTTTGCTTATCCGTCTGCCCAGCTCCCTGACTGCCAGGCCCCCAAAGTTGTACTGGTTTATTCGAAACCAACATCACACACTGAAAAACTCTTCTCTTTATTGCCGAAAACCCCTTTCCTCCGGTTAGCGGTAGATCATTGATCCAGGCTCTGTTCCTGTTTTCGCCGAGTTTGCTTAGGCAGTAGGCAAATTTATCGCTGACTCTACCTTTCTCCAATCTCCTGTTCATTAGATTTTTCTCCCAAAGCATGTCAATGGCCTCCCTTATCTTCCGCTTCCCCGTTGTTGTCACCGCATGGAGCTCTTCTTTCTGTTGCCTTCCAATCCAATTTAGACACCCTTTCATGTTGCGTCGGTAGACTTGTGAAAAGTGAGAGGCTATCAAACACGGTGAGACATTCATATGCATTTTCTAAAAAAATCAAAAGCATAGCATGTGGAATCGTGACATCGGCTTTTCACGGCCCATATGTTTATTTGTATTACTTCGCCTGTATGACTTTGCTGAGGCATATTCAAGTCAATTTGCTCAATTCTTCATCCCAAAATTCCACATCCGTTCATCGCAGGCTTCTGATAATCATGCTCCTCATTATTCCTATCTTTAGCCTGACAACACGACCAAGTTGCAGAAACAAGGTCAATCCACTCCAAGAGACAGATCCGGACAGGAAGCCCTAGTCGGATTAGTTGATCGAAAGAGGAGGTCAAGGTGAACAGCAAGTGTGATGAGACCACATAAAAACTTGTCAAAAAGGGCACACCTTTTGACGAGTGGAATGTAAACAAGTCAGAAGTTGGAATAGGGCAGCAGTTTCGACAGAACCTTGGTCGAGGGATTGACTTAACTTGTCTCTTTGACGAGTTGTAGCTTGGTGCTGAGAATGGCAAGACTCACTAACAACGCCAGCGAAACGTCTTTGAATGTACCAAGTCCACGGTCCGAATCTGGAAATGATCATGCATACTATGGACTCCAGACAGAATGCGTTCTTCTGGGTCGTCCTGCCCTTATGACCAAGTTGCGAAAACAAGATCAAACAATTACTGTACATCGATACAAAACTATGAGCAAAATAGAAAACACAAATTATTGGTCTTCGTAATTACTGGCAAGTTTACGATCTTAATTTCAATCTTTCAACCGAATATATTTGAAATGAGTAGGTTTCTAAACTACCCGTAAATCTTGAATAAAAGCTTTATTACCCGTAATTCGCATACGGTGATGAAGGTTTTGCAGTTAAGTTTTGCAACAATCATATGAGCAAGTCTGGGAAAATTCAACTATCTGTCCTTCATCACCTTATGCAATTTATTCAAGATCAACTGGTAGTTTATAACCTACTCACTGTGAATATGCTCGGTTGATAGATTGAAATCAGGATGGATGAGAAGTGTGATGTAAAATCACCATAAGTCTTGATCGTTTTCAGCTTCGGACCATGGAACTAATACATTCCAGGCGACGTAGTCAGTGTCGTTCTTGAGTAATGTCATTCGTAACATTGAGCTACAACTCCTCAAAGAAACTTATACACTCTGCGTTTTGTCTCGGTGTCATGTAAAGATGGCGCCACTTTCATATAGAAAAAAGGGTTATTGATCTTCTTGCATACCCTATTTCATTAAAGATAATGAATGTCTGGTAGTTGAATTTTTCCACAATCGTACGTTTCCATTGATTTTCACAAAGTCTTGTTCCCAAAAAGATATTCTCATACAAGCTGGACTGGACCGCAGTTTCGACCTCATCCAACCTGAACTCATCAGCGCCCCAGCGGGACTCGAACTCTGATAGTACAGCGAATAATCTCGATGATTTAACCACTACGCCACACGACGAATGCCTTCGAGTCAGAGGGCAGAAGCGAATTCCAAGGAGGCTAG